GTTCATTAAGAGGAATGCTGCGGGTATGAGTGCTGCTGAAGTGATCAACAGCGGCTTGCCATCTGGTATTTCGTCCGTTTATCAAGGCCAGTTCAAACGCCTGAAAAGTGAAATGCAGAAAGAACTGGGTATCACCGAAGAGCAACTCTTTGATTTTTTAAATGCCATGGTGGCAGCAAGAGAACCATTACCCGTCGAGTTTGCTTATAAGTTGTTCCTTTCAAAAGAATGGTCATCGGCTGATGAGCAAAAAGTACGAGACGCAGTTGATTGTATCTCGGCTCTTCTACCCATTGAGGGCGAGTGCATTAACTTCTTTCACAAGTCAGTCAAGGACTGGTTGGTCGAGGAGTCTACTTCGAGGCAAAAGAAGTTTACTGTTAGCGGAAAAGAAAGTCATCGCGTCATTGCAAAGCTTTGCAGAGATGAACTAGATGAATTGAAACTTAAAGGGATCCAGAGTTCAACACTGAAACAGACGTCGAGGTATGCCTTGCAGCATGGTGTTCAGCATATACTTGAGGTAGAAGAGAATGCCCGTCCGTGTAGCCTCGACGACATTGTAAAGAATTATGTTTTGGACCTAGAATTGGTCTATGCAAAGCTAACTGTGAAGAGTACAGCAGCCACTGAAGATATTCTTTTCGTACAAGAGAAGGAAAATACAAATGGTCTGTCAAAGAATTGCAGAGAAGCCCTTGAGACGTTATTGCTGCTGTTGCGGAAGCATTTAAGTACTCTTTCAAAACTTCCTTATGCCATCTTTCAAATCTTGTTGAATGAAGGAGGACGTGAACTGTCTGCGGAGGCATTAAGCCTGCTGAACACCAAGTATGCGGACTTACCATATATGGAATATTTGCGAAAGAAGGAGGAAAGAACAGATGTTCTACTGCGGTTTTTTGCTTCAGATTGGGTGGCCTGCTTTGATGTCTCACCAAATCAGGACTACCTGGTTTGCGAGTGTTTCGATGGCACAATTCATCTGTGGTCGCTCCGTACTGCCCAGCCAATGTGGAAACGCCCTTCGTTGGTATCAGAGAATGATTTATGGGTGTGCCGTGGGTTCAGTGGGTTTTCCTTTCATCCATTTTCCCGGTCAGTAGTTTTCCATCCAACCTTAAACCTGATCCTGCAAAGGACTCTGTGTCAGGGTTATACCTTGGTCGGAGACGTGCAACCTCTTTTCCGTTCGAGCAAGTGCCGGTTCAAAGTTTGTTCAATGTCTGGTGACAAAACCACGCTGCTGACTGACTGTCTGGACGGAAGGAATTGCGTCATCCAGTGGAGTCTAAAAGATGGAAGCGAAATTTATCGTTTTACACACAAATGCGAAATTTTATCTTTTGCTTGGTCTGCTAGTGGAAGACGGATGGTGATCGTCGATTCTGACAAGTGCGTATACCTCATTGACATGAATGATGGATTTGAGACTCTGATATGGGCTTCTGCTTGGTCACAATATGTTAAGTTAACTCCTGACAGCCGTTTTTTTTTCTGTTTGGTTTTGGATGAGGATGAACATGTTTGGTCTCCGAAGCCCAAGCTTTTTTGTTTAGATATTGACAGAAACACTAAGTCAATATGTAGTTTGGATCGCTTTTTTAGGACGAGTCCCTACCAGTACGCCTCGGAATTTGAAACTTGCAATGAGAGTGGTTTCTTGTCAGGAGATCCCTTTTGGAATTCATCTTTAAGAATATTCCCATCTGTAGATTTTGTACTTGTATTGAAAAAGCAGTTGTTACTAAGAGTTTCCCCTCTCAGTAAAGTGATTGAAATGTGTAGCCTTAATGACATAAGGGAGTGGAGAGGTGAGAGTAGCGATGAAGCAGGACAAAGCACAGAACCCGGTGACATTACGACAGAGAGAGCCGAAAATAACGATCTAACGGAACATAACCTACCAGAAATCAACGATATGCCGGAGCAGAAAGCTGAAATCGATGTTCTGTCAGGACAGAGAGCTGAAGTTGTTGATCCATCAGAACAGAGAGCTGAACTTGACGACCTACTCGAACAGATGGCTGAACTGGGTGGCCTAGTTGAACAGACAATGGAACTTAACAACTCTACGGAAAAGAAAGGTGAATTTGATGACTTTGTGGGAGAACGAACGGAATTTAATGACCCATCAGAAAAGAGGCTCAAACTCGATGAACCATCACAACGATTGGAAATTGGTCTATGCAGCTTATCAGAGAATGGAGCTGATCCTTATTTTAAAGGGGGTAAGTTTCTAAAGAAACTGTGGTGCTGCGTCGGTGGAAGTGTATAACAGGGTAATTTAATATATTAAAGTTCACACGGCAACCAGATGGACAATCAGACATGGTTTGGTGCTACTCTGGTTTACAGATTTAATGAATGTAACCGAAGAAATTACAATTCATAGACCCAACGTCTCGACACTCCTGTCTAGTGCCTTCATCAGGGGTGATCTAAACGCTGCAACAAGAGGTCCTTCTATATGATCACTAATTAGCTGCCTTTTTTTCTGACGAGGTGTAAGTAAGCGTCAGTAAGCAAGCCGCCATCGTCACGATTTCGAGGAGCGTGGGCGGAGTTAATATGCCAAGCCTCCAAACAAAGGCGCTGGTGGTAACGCCGATTAGCGGTGATAATTTTAGAATTATCCCACCCAATTGTATGGTTAGTTAGGCATGTGTGCTCCGATAAAGCTGAATTTTCCTTTTTGCAAAAGAAAACCGCTTTTTGATGCTCTTTGAAACGTGTACCAAACTGACGTTTGGTCTGTCCGATGTATACGTTGTCACAGTCATTGCAAGGAATAGAATAAATGGCGTCGGTTCGTTGTTCTTTCGTGACAGGATCCTTAGGTTTGGCAAAAATATGCCCCGAAGTCTGAAAAGGTTTTTGAGCAACTTAAACGTTGTGGCTATTCAAAATTCTCTTGATGGGTTCTGTAACACCCTGAATGTAAGGAATAACAGCAAAACCAGTCGCTAGTTCCCTTTCATCAAGAGAGTTACTAGTTGTAACTGGTTTTTGGCAGTTACGGAGAAAGGTTTTCGTATAGCCATTTGCCTTTAGGACATTAGAAATATATGTGTATACTTGGTTTTTACGCCACATACACAACATACTCAGGCGTGCTAAACCTCCTCCCAAAATCCGGAAATGAAGCGGAGCGCCTCCTATCGCATTTGAATTCAGTAGAATTCAGGAGTGTCGAAACGTTGAGTCTATGAATTGTAACTTCTTCGGTTACATTCATTAAATCTGTAAACCAAAGTAGCATCAAACCATGTCTGAGGGTAATTTAGTGTTATCAAATGAGTTGATAACGTAAATTGGCCACCGTAAAGAGTTTAAAAGCTGACGTTGACGTTCCGAGAGTTAGCTTTTAAAATCTTTACGATGGCCAATTTACGCTATCAACTCAGTTGATAATACTAAATTACCCTGATCCTTATTCTGTTCTCTCTTTCCTAGATGATCAGGAACCTCTACTTGAGGACATAGAGGAAAACGGTTCTGCTGGAGATGATTACTCTGGACTACCAGATAGCGTTTATTTCTCTGTTGATGGTAACTCTCTTTATACCGTGGTGGGTACAAGGATCCAGCGAATAAATCTTGTGACTGGCGATGTTTTAAGTAAAAGGGTTAGTCGCAAGGCATGTCTGACTATCGGAAGGCGTTTTCGTCTTGTGCCCGTCAAAAGAGGTGTCCTATTCGAAACAAATGGTAGCTCGCTTGAGTTGTGGAACTCTGAGTTGTCTGCTTGCATGCAAAGGTGGACTGGCTTTTTTGTCAGGGTTGCTGTACCCTTATCAGAGGAACTAGTCGCCTTGGAAACGGTGAATGACGATGATGGCAGACGGGAAGTGATCATTCTAGATACAACGAATGAAAAAATTGTGTCAACGATTGCAAATTTTGGTGGTGCATTTTTTGCATGTAATAATAAATGTGAAGTGCTAACCACTACTGATGGAGAGTCTCTGCAGCTGTGGCGTAAAAACCAAGTGATATGGGAAACTTCTATTCAATTAGATCTATCCGGGTTATACGTAACTGTTATTTTTTCTCCCACTGAAGAATACGTCGTCATTTTTGATGAAATTGGCTCTTACGTCCTCAACGCAGTTTCGGGAAAAGTGATTTGTGAATTGGAGATCATGGCTGCAAATGATATTAAGTTTATCAGTAACGAGGACTGCATCGTCAGCTTGAATTATCCAAGAGGTTTTTGTCTTAGATTATACAACGTTATATCTGGTGATCTCCTTAGTGAAATTGTTGAGGAACGATATGTTCTAAGTTTTGCAGCTTATCCTCGTAAGCGCTTGGTCGCAATTGTCCTTGAAAACTCCGAGAACCATTTTGAAATCATTCAAGTGAAGCTGCCAGGCGATAAAGAGAAGAAGAACATGAAAAGGTCAGTTGAAACAAAGTTTATTTGAAGACAGAAGTAGAATAATGTGGATAATGATATAATGTTATTAGTATTAATAGTAGTAATAACAATTATGATATTAATAATAGTGTGATAATGATAGCGATAATGATGATTGTACATGTAATAATAATGATAACAGTAGTAATAAGAACAGTTATGATGATAATTATAACTATGATGATACTAATGATAAATAATGGTAATAGGACAGAGTGGAGTCCAATTCGTTCTGTAGTCATACGAGTGATTAACAAAATCGGACGACCGCATAGTTATAATTAACATCATAACTGTTACCAATTAATCATAACTGTTGCAATTTCCGAAAACAACAAACATATTAAGGACAAATGTCTCCTGTAGAGACGATTTCTAAAGTAAAAAATTCATCGATTTTGGAAATTCAACAATTTTTGTGGGTGAAAATGATTCTAAAATCTGATCCCGTTTAATGACTACCATCATTAACCTCCACTACGGTGAATAATTGTTAACTATTGTCGGCTTGAATTTTTTTGTTTACATGTATGTTTACTCGTTTTCTTACACTTTTTGTTTTTCAAACTTTTCTCAA